CAGGGATTTGAAGCCAGGTCTATTGAATTATGCAACTCCTTCCCCACCAAATACACACACAAGCACGCACACACACACACACACAGACACACACACTCTTAAATTCCATGCCCAAGCCTCGCCCTTCCCCAAGCATCTGTCCATCGTTCCATGAGTATAATGAGCCATTTCACACCTTCAATTTGGGACCCCTTGTCCTCTCCCACCATAGCCTGGTAGACACCTGCCCACCTGTGTCTCAAGGCTCAGCTTACGTTATTGTCAATAGAAATATTTCTGAACACACAAATCACTACCACCACCCCTCTTCCCTCTCCTTTCTTTCTCTCTTCCCCAATGTAGAATCCATCATACCCTCTGGGCTATAAGTTCCATAAGGACCAGAATTATTCTTTTTAGAAAGCTCTGCAGTCCGGGTCACCAGCACAGTTCCTGACTGAGGGAAGACCTGCAGCAATCGACTGCTGAATGAATAAAGAATGAATTGACTCTTCCTGCCTCTGGCTCTTTTAGTTCTACACACCAGTGGTTCTCAATCAGGAGTGATTTTGCTCCTGTGGGGACATTTAACAATGTCTGGAAACAATTTCTTGTCATTACTCATGGGGTGCTACTAGCATCTAGTTGGTAGAGGTCAGGGGTGCTGCTAACTTCCTTCCATGCAGGTATAGCCCCTACAGCAAAGAATTACCTGGCCCAAGATGCCAACAATACCAAGAGTGAGAGACCCTGCCTGCTCCACACCCTCTGTCCCAGCAGCTGCAACATGCCTGGTTATCTGCCCGTAACGGACTCTAAGCCCTAAAGGCGGGGACCTGGTATCACTTTGTCTTGTTAGACCCGGCACCCAACACATTGAATAAATGCATAAATGAATGAATGAGAAACATTAGACAATTGAGGGAGATGCAGACGTGCCAGGCTGAAATTCAAGTACATGGGGACTGAACTGGGGACTAAGTTTGGGGGCACTTGTCATCTTATTAGCTGTGTTGAAATGTTTTCGTGCTGAATCGTTGCTATTGGCCCTCAAAAGGCCATAAGGGAAAAAAAGAATCAAATCAAAGTACCACCTACTGGTTTTGTTTGACAGATGCAGCCCTGGGGAATTGTATTCTCATTAACACTGTTCGGCTTCGATATTACAGTGAGACTTTTAAGGTGGTGATGGCAAAATCCTGTAGTTGTTCATAAATACACACTTACCATGTGTGGCTCAGGAAAGAGACAAATTGTTACTTATCAAAAGTGTTGCTGTAAACACTGAGTGATAACACAAAGCTGTTGTAGTGGATGAGTGAAAAGTCACATCCACGCCCTTTAACATTAAGCACAAGTAGAGATATTTTAGAAGAAATGAGAGTCATTCAAAGGAAATATCTCAGACTAGATTCTTTGATTATTAAATAGAACTGGACAAGGGAGAAAGGTAAGTGTTATGAGAATAAGAAAAACGCTATTAATTGTATGAAGTTCAAAGTCCTCAGTGTTTTCAAATGCATTATCTTATTGGACGTTCGTCATGATGTGTGACATTGTCTGCACTTGATTCCCAAAAGTTCACTTTTCAAGAGACTGTATCCTGGAAGGATGAATGGGAGTGCCCAAACATCTGCAGCAAGCAGGGAACACAGGATGGAGGGGTTCCCCTCTTCTTGGTGTAGTGGGCACAGCAAGGGCATGTCAGAAAAACAGCTCTGTGACACTGGGAGAGCCAGAAAATAAAGGGGGAATGCAGGGAGTGGCTTCCAAGTCCAGCATTTCACTGTGTCAAATTTAAACAGCCAATCAGAATCAGATGAACCTATGAAAAAAAAATTGTTAATTGTAAACGTGGGTGTAAGAGACAGGAGATGAGATGAGAGCTCCTTATCAACAGTGTAGTGCAATAAATGCGCTGAGCCTCTGACTGACTCATAACGGGCTCTGTCTCCCGGTTGTGGAATTGACTAAGCACTGGGACTTTCTGTTCATAATTCTAACAGGGAAGAAAAGGCAACAAAGAGTGGTCTGTTCCTTTGGGGTTTTGTTTGTTGTTTCTTGTAACAATTGAGACTTTCACAAAGAGTAGGCAAAGTGTGGATTCATGCCAAAAGCCACAGAATATTCCAATATGATTGTGAGCCTCTATTTGTCTAGCTACCTTTAGCTCAGGATTTTCATATAATACCATAGATTTTCAGTATTATAGAGAAAAAGGATAGAGATGGTTTAAAAAAATCATTTTAGCCAAAAAAAAATCAACCCTTGATATTTGCTGTCACTTGATGTAGAAATTGATGCTGGCCGGGCACACTGGCTAATGCCTATAATCCTAACACTTTGAGAGATGAAGGTGGGAGGATTGCTTGAGCCCAGGAGTTCGAGACCAGCCTGGGCAACAAAGCGAGACCCTGTCTCTATAAAAAATAAATTTTAACTAGCTGTATGTGGTGGTGCATGCCTATAGTACCAACTATTTGGGAGGCTGATGCAGGAGGATCTCTTGAGCCCAGGAGATCAAGGTTGAACTGAGCTATGATTGTACCACTGCACTCCAGCCTGGATGGATGACAGAGCGAGACTGTGTCTCAAGAGAAAAAAAAGAAGGAAGAAATTGATGCTAACATCCTCGCAAAGATGTGAAAGATGTGTTTTCATATGTTTAATAAGATAACTTTGGACTTTGATCTCAGCCCACAATGATGATGATTATGAATATATGAGCTCTGAGTGGTCTCTTTTTATCAAGTATAATTACATCACATAAGCAAATATGCTTGAAGTTATAAAACTCAAAATAGGAGTCAATCCTAGTGAGGCATGGGGATGTTGCTAGCAGTAAATAAATGGCCATTTCCTGTCGTCTTCTCCTCCGATCTTCCTTCATCCTTTTAGCAACTCTTCTGATGTGAGCTATACAGCATTTTTGAAAAGGTGTGCATGGTGGCACATGCCTGTAATCCCAGCACTTTGGGAGGCTGAGGTGGGAAGATCACTTGAGGCCAGGAGTCCAAGACCAGCCTGGGCAGTGAGACCTCATCTGTATAAAAAATAAAAAATTAGATAAGTGCGGTGGCTCACACCTGTAGTCCTAGGTACTCAGGAGGCTGAGGCAGGAGGATTGTTTGAGCACAGGAGTTTGAGGTTGCTGTTGAGCTACGATCATGCCACTGCACTCCAGCCTGGATGACAGAGCAAGATCCTGTCTCAAAAAAAAGAAAAGAAAAGAAAGAAAAATAAAAAGAAAAATTTTTTTAAAAAAGGAAAAGTCCTGCTGCCCCCAATGACAGATGCACAAGTGAAACCAGAGGGATATCCAGAGCAGGCAGAGTTTGGTAACCCTGGACTCCTGACTCCTCAACTAAGGATCGGCCTGTGTGTCCACTGTTGAAAAGACAATTATTGAAAAGGAAGCCTAGGTAGGCTCCGAATACAGGCATGTGAAATGGCCTCTTCCCCTCCACATTTCAGGTGACTGGGCACCGTCTGCCCAGTAGATTTAGAGGTCATTGCAGCTGCCTTCCCACTGGAGTTGTCAGTGGGTTATTAGAGAGCCAGGATCGGGTGGATCGTACTTGCTGGTGGCCACACAGACCCATGTGGCTTCTGCCCTCTATGGCTGTCCAAGGCGCCTGGCTGCTGTGTGTTGGAGCTGCTGGTGGGGAGGCCTGGACCCTATTCACATCCCAGTATGTGCCCACAGTTGTGCTGTAGCACCAGTGCCCCGTATTGGGAGTGCAGAGGGTCTATTCAGAGAGAAATTCTGTTCGCCAAGGTTCCTGAACAGCAGGCGATGGTTGGTAATCATGCACCTGCCAGTAGACGAAGCTCAGCCAGGTCTTTCCAGGCATTTCTGCCCCATCTGCAAAACATGTACATGGGATGCCCAAGGAGAGGAGCAGATCTTCCAGGAGAGCCTGGGGGAGGCTCAGTGGAAGTAAATGTGCCTCAGAGGCTAAGGGAACGTCTCAGTTGATCCACCATTAAGAGGCTTAATGAAGAGTAACTGAGACTGGAAGAGTGAGAGCTGCCACAGGTCCAACTGAGGCGAGCATCACCCCAACTCCTGGTTGTCTTCCATCTGCTCCTCCCCTCTGGTGCCAGATATGCCACATTTTCCAGGGCTTCCCGAGATACTGTCACATGGGCAGTGTTGCCTGATTTCTTCTTTCTCATAGTCCAGAGCCCTCTTGTGCCATCTGAAGATGGGTCAGTCCCTTTTGACCACTGCAGAGACAAGTGCTCTGTCCTTGGGAGCAGAACACGCCTGGTCACTGTGAGGGGACGTGGCTCTCTCCACCAGCCCCACCCCCTCCTGGGATTGTGTGACAAAGCACCTGCCCTGACCTCTACCCCCTCTTGGACCTCGAGGACAGGTCTCTTCTTCCATGAAAATGTCCACCGTCACCTCACAAAATGGTGCTGAAGTGACACAAATTCCAATAAATTCACTAATGGCTCTGGAACTTGAATTTTAAAAAATAGAGTTTTTAAATATCTGTAGAAATATACAAATATACACATCTCTCTATAAATACATTTATCTTCACTGTTATCACAGATGGAATCTGAAGTGGTAATTAAAGGCATTCTTTGGAGGGGGGGAAAGAAAGTTCGAACAGTCTATTGCCTCAGGGAGAGCATGCTTGGCTGTGAAGTGATGCCCTTTCGATAAGGCTGGCCCCTCCTGCGTATCTCAGGAACTGGGCCAGAGATTGCTCTCCGGCACCGTGGAGTGAGCAGGTTTGGATTCAGCCAATGCTGTGTGTGGGTTTGTAAAGACAGCACCCCCCTCCCCTAGAAGGCTGCCAGCCCCAGGCTGCCCCATCTGTTTGGTGCCAGAGCTGAATTGTTCTGCATCTGGGCAGTGAGGCTTGCCCCCACCCTGCTGGTGGACAGTGCATTGCATTGATTCAGACATCAGAAATCCCCACGACTCCGTGTGTTTTTAATAAAGATGGTAGGAAACAGAATTCCCAGTGACCTTCTAACCTGGTTTTTCTTTTCATCTCACGCAGGGACGGATCTGTAGGAAAGCTGGCAAATCAAAAAAGTCCTTCAGTCGCAAGGAAGCTGAAGCTACCTTTAAGAGTTTGGTGAAGACACATGAAAAATATGGCTGGGTCACCCCGCCCGTGTCCGATGGCTGATGTCTGCCACGTGCAGTAGACGCTCGAGCGCCTGTCCACACACACACCAGTACCCTGACATCTCCTCAACGCTGTGCATCCTCCACCCTTTTTTACTCCAGCCAGAACTGCATCCTGAATGCCAAGGAGACGTTTAAGTTATTTATGAACAGATGTGTTTACAGAGAGGAAGCGGGAGCAAACGCCATTCGGATTCTGTTTCGATTATAAATGAATGATCACCTCGAAGTCACTTTAGAACACATGTTGAGATGGTGACATTTCCCAGCCTGCCTGCCCCTCTGCCCACCCCGGTCACATTGCCCTGAGCTTCTTTCCATGACAGCAGCTCCGACGAGCCGGCAGGAAACTCAGTGCCCCTGCTGGCTCCATTTCCATGTAAATGGCGCCGTTCATATTTCATAGGGACGCCGTGCATCGCCGCCGTGCGTCCCCAGCACGTGTTTGCTGTGCTCTGTATCTCTGTTTTTCTTCCTGGAAAGTCAACATAACTTGAAGATGTGTCTTTCTGTGGCCCATGGTCCGCTGTGATGACATTTAGACCTCATTTGTGCTATGACCTTTGGCTCATGAAAACACAAATTTAACATTGCCAGGTTCTAGTGATTTAAAACCACAACTGCCCACGTGGTGGAAATGTGCCCTCGATGCTGATTTGTGGTGTGCTGCTGTCCACAGATAAACCAGTGCCATTAGATGGAAGGCAGAGGACGCTGCGGCCACCCCCGGCAGACGGTGGCGTGGACACCAGATGCGCCCTCTGGGGCTCAGAGCAACGGGTGGTCAGCTGCGAACAGTCTCGTCCGATGTTAGGAAATGGTCCTACGGCCACGCCTTTGTGTTCCTGTCTTCTCTCCACCACCAAAAGCAAAAGACGATTTCCCATTCACTGCGGTCATCTGACTCATTTTATTATCTGTGCTAGTGACAAGGAATGTCAGAACTGCCAAAGGATACCAAGTGATCATATGATGATTTGCATGACCGGGTCTCTTTCACCCAGTAGTCACTTGTGTGTCCCCCGAAACTGGGGTGGGTGAGCACCCTTGCTGTGGTGTAAACTTCCTGTTATTTAATCTCCCCACAATTTCATTTTTCTCTTCTGTTAAGTTACTTAGAACTTTCTAAGAAACTCCATGAAATGAGGAAATACTGTTTCTAATAATATGAGGAAAGAGGTAAAAATGTTCATTCCAAGTGGAAAGTCTTATTGGACACATTTTAAATAAAATCATGCATACCTGATACACTGCCTCAAGGATCCAGTCATTGTGGGCTATCCTTCCATTTAAAATATGTCAGATATTCTTAAATTTTTTAAATATTGCAAATACTACAACATGTAATTCTAGAGCAGCAGTCTAAGTCAGGTACCGGAAATGAGTCTTAGGAACCCATAGTCTTTGCAAAAATTAGGTAGATTGAAATGGTCCCCAGAAACAGCCAAGGAGCTGAAGGGATGATTGGATCAAGTTCAGATGTTGCCAATTGTATCTTACCACTGTGAGGGAGGAGAAGTCTTCCGGGATAATATATTCAATTCTTCAGGCAGTTTTGCCTACTTGGGAACCTGCCCATTTGGTTCAAGGCTTTCAGAGGTCCAAGAGGCCTCGCCTTAAAGAACAAGGATTGATGCCTTTCAGCAGGGCTGGCCATTCACCAAATTTATTGTTACTTTTGTTTTTCTTTACCACTTTCTTATTTGCCCCCAAGTGCACACAGCAGCTCTGCTAGACCAGAATGACAGTGTATTAAGAATGCAGGGCCTGCTCAGGTTCCCTGTGGTCATAATAGTCGTGAAACTTGATGACAGTGAACTTACAATGTTCATTCATGCAACCCTCTATGGTGGCATTCTCCATCCCGGAAACCTGACATTTGGCTGACAGTCTTTGGACCCTGGAGCTATTGACCATCCTGGAATTACACTGTGGAGATTAAAGACCTAGGACAGAAACATCTTGCTAGGGAAAGCACCTGAGTTTATTCCTTTCTAAATAATTTCCCCTTCTAATGAAAACTAAAAGCAGTTTTACTTTAGGGGGAAAAATACATCCACAGGCAGGTCATTTCGGTAGTGTTTATTACCTGATTGAAAAACAGGTTCACGTTGGTCTCTGAGAACTGCACCAAGGGGTGCAGCCAGGAGACTGGTCTGACCCCGGATTGGGCTGGGTGACAGCCAGTGACAGAGCAGAGAGACACTCAGCTCAGTGTCGCCCCTTCCATACACTCAGAGTTTGATTTTTTTGCATGGCATTTCCATTGGGTTTATTAGAAACTTATAGAAGAAATCAATTCTTTAGTGAACGAAATACCGTTTTTCACTTCAATTGGTAAGAATTTCTCACTTTAAAAGCAGTAGGAAGTAATGTAAAACTCAACCATTGCTTGGACTGTTATGAGTGCAGACTCCCTTTTTGGTGGACTCCCTTCATAGGCAAGCATGGCTGTGCCCAGCCATGGAGGCACCCTTAGGACAGTGAGCACAGGCCTGGCTGCCCATGCCTTGGCCATAGCCTCCTTCCACCCTGCTGAAGTGGACACCTGCCTCTGGAGCCCAAGGTGAGAAGGAGAGCCCTAGACCCTGGGGCCACAGTCCCACATAAGCCAAGGAACCTCTTCCTCTTTGGACAGACAGCGAGGGAATAATCAGACAGTGGCTGCAAATGTTCATGTCCCGATAGCTCCACACACCCATGCATCTGTGGAAACTCAAACCAAGCCAGAGCTCACAGAGCCAAACAAACAGAAAATCACAAACTCATCTGTCCTCTTCTCAATGCAAAACTCCTTCCCATCCAATAGTTTTCCTGAACCAATCACCCTTGTTATTGGGTATCTTCTCCACTGCTGGGTAAGACCTGCGTATGGTCTGGGTGGACTGAGAACTGCTTATGCCTTAGGGAGTTCTATGTAAGCAGCAAGGTTATTCCCCCAAGTTTTACACACACACACACACACACACACACACACACACACACGCCAATACTCCTGCAAAGACTTGCTGTCTCTAAAATCCACTACTCAGAAAAACCAGGATGTAGGCTTAAAGTTTTCAGCTCCATCTGTCAAAATTTGACCTTTTTTTAAGAGAAAAATATGTAGACGAGTGAAAAAGACCTGGGATTGAAAGACAAAAAGCCATGTATCCGTGTAACCCTGGCCAGTCACTCCACCTGCCTGAGCCTCGGTTTCCTCAGCTGTGTACTCCTAGCAGGTCAGTGTGAGAATTGGCCAAAATGATGCAGCAGAAGTGCTTTGGAGACTAAAGATTGTCAACAAAATGTAAGTGTCATTTTCATAGTATCAGGAAATTTACATTACAGCAGGCTTTAATTAGAACCCACATAGACATCGACTCAGAATGATCAATTACAGTGGTTAAAATACACGTACCTGGTAATCATATACTTGCTTTCTGTCCCCAGTTCTTACATTAAGTCAACCAACTGACCCAAAAATCAACCAATAACAACTGACCATCTCTCCACTCACTCAGCATTCTCCTCTTACATGCAGGGCGTGCAGAAGATTAAGGTACAGCCCCTTCCCTGGATAGCAACTGAAAAGATAGGAATAGCACACAGGCACCAGCACCAAGCAAGGCAAGTGCCAAACTGCATTGCAGAAATTAAAGACATTGTGCAAGTCCAGAGATTTTCTGACTGAAAACCAGAAAGATTTCATGGAGTCAATCAGGTTTGAGCCATGGTTGGGCAAAGGGAAGAAGAAGGGCAGGTGTAGAAATAGGAGGGGCTGAGGGCACCTTGAAAGGGAGTGTGGACTCTGTCCTCACTGGCCTTGAATGGGAGAACTGGAGTCTCCTTGCCACCTGTCACCTGCAGAGACCCTATTCATGGAGCTGATTTCAGGAAGCAGGACACAGTCCCACCTGACAACCTAGCCTGGTGTGTGGAGCTTGCCCTGTGCGTAGGAATTCTATTTCCATGTCCCCATCCAACAGCAGGCGAAATTTTAATGGAATTTGCTTTCTAAAGGGGCAGAGCTTACTTCCTGACTGTAGTGAGGGTAGAGTCACTGAATCTGGAAGACCACTTAGTCTAATTTTACACCCTCTGCAGTGAAGGAGGCGAGCCCAGAGACTTTGAGGGGCTTGTCCACAGTAGGACAGGAGCAACAAGGCCACTGCCTTACTGTGGCTTTCTGATCCTTTATGTTGCTTCATGAGACCATTAGGCAATTCATGTTGCCCTCATCAAACACACACTCTTCACCCAACCATTGAATCAGTACAGTCACGAGTCTTCCAAGCCAGCTGGGAAACACCCACATGATCCATTCTGTGCCCAAAGCAAATTGGAGCAGAGGGCAGAAATTCCCTCCAACTGCTTTGGGAAGCTTCTGTAAGGGGCTTGGAGCTCAGCCCGTGGGACTGTAGTCAGAACTTTGTAAGACTGAAGTCATGTACAGCTCTGTTCTTAGTTTTCTGCTAGGTTCTACTTCTCTTTCTAATTTTTGCAGCCTCTAATTCACATAGTATTGAGTATCATTTTTAAGCCCAGGGCCTGTCTGATCCACAGAATGTGGTCAATAAACTGGAAAGGCAAACAAACTCTGTTGACGTTCGGGAAAGCAATAAGTGATGTTAGTTTGGTTCCAGAAGAAACACGGGAGCAAAGTGTGCTGGCCAAACAGAAACAATCAAAACAGAGGAAAGTAAGATTTTCTTTCAAGGTCATGATAAGGCCAGACAAATAGAGTGCAATGAGGGGGTCAGGTGCGAGGCCGTCCTCCCAGGTCAGTAAGGCCGCATAGAAGGAAAAAAAGATCCCTGCACTGCCCCCCACTGCCAATTCACCCTGTGTCTCTTGCACAGTTAAAACCAGGAGGTGGCTTTCTCTTTTCTTCTACTGGTGGTAAATTAAGTGACTGTCCTACTTTGTAGACATGCAACCATTTTGTGTCTCTAGATCTTGGGCAATCACTGGTGATGACACTACTTGAGCTAACACAGAAACTGCTGTCACCTGATGTGCTTGGTTTCATTCCTGCCTGCCTTCTCTACAATGTGACTTCATTTCATGAATGTGGTTGCCATCATGACAATGCTAGGATGCTGATCTGTATACCGTGAGTGACTGCGAACTTTCAGACCCTCACTGCAATTCATGGGGAGACTTTGGTGTATCCTATTTCCAGAGTTATCCTCTTCTGTGATCCTCAGAAGCAGAGAAAAAAATGCATGTGGCATAAATCAATAGGAAAGAAATGTTTACCACTGGAAGATGGTGAGTGCATGAGTCAAATAATCTAGAGGCACTGCCCTAATGAGAAAAAAACAATGATTCTGGAAAACAAATCTTTAAAACCAATAAACGTCTTTACACAGAATGCTTGCTGTGTCCTTGCATGGTCTGTGTTCAGTAACTCTCAGGATTTATCTGGGTCTCCACGTGTGTTCTCCCCACGAGCCATGGTGAGTGAGACCCACTTGGCACCCTCTGATCTTTTGTCCTTTGACTCCTTCGTGGTTTGCCAAATGAAAACCTTAAAGTATATCATGGGTGTTCTCCAAAAAAATCAATGAAATGTAGCTGAACCAAATCTAATTAATGTAATCAGTGTGACTTAGATTTCTCCTTCAGCTGCCATTTGCATTACAAAGATTCGTAAACATTATTGATAAAGAGTTCCATTAAAATGTCTCGATGTAAGTGAAATAGTGTGCTCAGCACAAAATGTAGCCTAAACTACTACTGAACTAGAGAGATATTTCTTTGGAGAACTTATAGAGTAACAATTCTGGAAAATGACAATTTTCAAGTGCCCTAAGCACCATTTACTGAAGAGGCACTTCAGCTCACTTTTCACACTAACATGTATGTTGGTATTCAGTTTTTGTTTTAAGCCATTTACCCGAGGAATTTCTCAGCCCTAGTCAATATTCAAGATCATTTTCTAATCAAGAGCGTATTTTTAAAAATCTCAAAATGTGGCTAATTTAGTACTGAACAGGCCTGGGCTGTTGATCAGAAAACCACGCCTCTTATCACATGTAGATAAGGCACTCAGCCTTACACCCAGACACTTGGCTTCCACTTTCCAAACTGAAATTCTGAAGTGCATATCTACTGTTGAGGGCTGTGGTGACAAGACAGGCAATGTGTGGGAAGCAGGCCCAGGGCCTGATGTATAACTGGAACTCAGTACATTATTTTACAAATAACAGTGAGATTGGTTTGGCACAATCAAGCTGACCACTTGAGTTAGGATCCACTTCC